CACACACATCTCCCCCACACACACATATCTCCCCCACCCACACACACGTACACACACATCTCCCCCACCCACCCACGCACACATCTCCTCCACCCACTCAGACATACACACACATTGCCTTCACCCACACATACACACCACTCCCTCATCTTCAAACGTATCACCCCAACGCACACACGCGCATCACCCGTCACACACATCACACCACACAAACGAACCCTACCCGTACACACACATCGCCCCCCCACACACATCACCCCTCATACACACACATATCACTCCCTCACACACATCACTCCCCCCACACAGGCAAACATCGCCCCCACACACACATCACACCCCTCACACACACATCACCCCTCAAACGCACACATCAGCCCCTCACACACATCAGCCCCCACACAGGAATCCCCCCAGCACACACATCACCCCTCGCATACATCACACCCCCAACACACACATCACCCCTCGCATACATCACACCCCCAACACACACATCACCCCTCACACATATCACACTCCCAATACACACATCAGCCCTCGCATACATCACCCCCGCATACACACACATCACCCCCGCACACACATCACACCCTTCACACACACACATCACCCCCGCACACACACACATCACATCCCCCACACACACATCAACCCCGCGCACACACACACACAAACACACACACACATATCACCCCAGCACACACATCACACTCCCTCGCACACACACACATCACCCCTCACACACACATCACACATATCAACACGACATACACACAGATGCCATTTCATACACACCCTCACACACACCCACATCCCCATCTCTCTGTCCCCTTTGGGGCATGGAAAGCCCTGAGTACTCACTGAAGATGCTGTTTTTCTCCAGGCTGCCATCAATCTTCCCGTTCAGGTGGATCTGCAGATGGTATTTGGTGGCACAGTAGAGCCTCCTCCTGCGCGGGGCCCCTCCGAGATGTTCATAGACGCCCCCCCGGCCGCCGGCATCTCTCCTCAGTCTGGGCTCGCAGGCCAGCGATGGGCCGCACGGCTCCCTCGGAGCCACAGCCGGCGCCTGGGCCAGCGGCGACTGCTGTGCACTCAACTCCAGCGAACTCAGCAACAGGCAGACAGTTATAAGCATCGTGGCATGGTCCAAACCCAGGCGGGTACAATCCGTGGCGGAATGGCCGGCTCAAGGGTTCCCATTAAAGAAGGGCTCCTGGCGGGCGAGCAGATTGTGGTACGCGGCGCTGCACTCGCTCACGCTCTGGGTACTTCATCTGTCTTGACCTTCTAAATCAATCCTCACTTGGCCGGCCTGTCATAATCCCCCGTAAACTGGTGCCTGTTCCGCGGGTCCTCCTCCTTCCCAAATAACGCAGGGCAGACTGCAGCTAAAAAAAAGGCACAATTTCACTTAGACACTATCGTGAGATTTCGGCGCAGCTCCGGCGAGCGACCGCGCATGGGAATGAAAGAACTTTTCCTTGGAACAATAGCCGAACTCCAACCAATTGATACAAAGAAGAGAGTAGGAGCTATCAGCCTTGAATGTGTGTGTGTATGTGTGTATGTGTGTGTGTGAACTCAGAGTGCAGCACGGATAAGATTACAACATGACACACACGGACTCAATGCGGAAAACCGCATCACAAAGATACCAGCAGTGCATCTGAGGGAAGACTTTTTTCAGAGACCCATTTTAACAGCCTCACGTATCCCCTCCCCACTTCACCCCACACAAAAAAAAGCCTAATTATACATATGAGAAACTATACACACTGAAGGGACAGAGAGACTATTCCCCAGGGCACGCGAGATCTTGCAGTTCCTATCAATGCTAACTAACAATACGTGACATCCTGAGGTGACTGATGCTAAAATGAAGCAAATTCGAGACGCAAAGAAAACGGTCTGTTTTAAACAAAAAAACCCCAAAATGCTTACGGTTAAAAAAAACTGAACCTGCATACGAAAGGGAATCGCCAACGTTGCAGATTGTGTTCAAGGGAGCAGTTGGGCTGCAATCCTGCCTGGTCCCACTCGTCCACGTAAAATGACCATTTAACACCTTCTTATAGTGCTCCGATAGGTTGGTCCCGCATCGGGCGTGTGCACAACATTAACGGCTGTGTTCATTGAATGTACCGAATATTCCCCCTCCCCGCTCCGCCCCCCCCCCCCCCTCACACACACACACACACACACACACAGCAAACACCTCCAGCCTAGGCTGGTTATCACAATTCCCCTCCATAGCCCGCCCCTTCCCCCAAGGTCAATTCGAAGATAATTTCATTGAAAGCCAATTGCGGTCACAGAAACGGACTGCAAGGGGAACTTTACTCTAGCATGTAGCATCTCCATTCGCGAACTGCTGTGGAGTGCGCCAAGGGCAATGCGAACGGACTTTCTACAGTGCTTAATTAAAACCTTTTATGAAAGATTCTCTCTCCGAAACAAGCACTCAAATCGATAACTCCTTCAATACTTTTATTTTCCCTGAGAATTAATCAGCCCACATCTGTATAATGTGTGACAGAATCACTTGCAGCTAAGGAACCGCTCGATTATTGCCCGCCTCTGCTGTAAGCGGCACTGACACAGCTCTGGAGCAGAGTCACACTGGACTCGAAATGTTTCAGATGCTGCCAGACCCTGCCGAGTTTTTCCAGCCTGCTCTGCCTTTGTTTCATCCATACATCCCGGTTTCAGGGTTTTCCGACACGGATGTTCAAAGAAAGTGATCAGAACCTCACTTGGAAACGTCCATTTTAAGGAGAACAAGATGTATTTTGAGTGTATCCCAAATTCGTTTGCTCCTATTTACACCACCAACTGGATCAACATGAGAGCCACTGACCATCTCCCTTACCTACCTCCGGGGAGCTGGGGAAGAGAGAAGTTTTTTTTTCCGCTGGTCAGAAACTCCTGTGAATGGGAACCTGCCTATCTCACGCACAGTCTGTTGTATAAGCTGACATTTAACGAAACGGCGCTTACGAACCTATTTGATCATTGAAGTGTGTAGGGCGTGTTAGGTGCTTAGATGGATACAAGCTAAGGAGCTTGCTACTTCAGTTACAACTTGAGCCAGCATGTAATTAATTGGCAATCATTCGAGCTAAAATTTGTTTCCAATAGTATCCGATGCCTCTAATCAAATCACACAGCAACAAAATCCAATCGTTGTTTAATATTGCAATGAAGATGTACGTGTCTAAACCAAACCCTCTTTTTAAATGCTGAATGTTAATCACTGGACTATCATATGAGTGGAACAGCAAAATGCAATGACCTTTGTCAAAATTGCTTGCATCCCGCCTACATGGTGGTTACCATTCCCATAATGGCTACCTGTAGCTCTCCCTTTGCTCTCGCCAGTGGCTGGCCTGTCATTTCAACTCACTCGTGAGATCGCGAGGAATTCCCCCGGCAACATTACCCTTCACTCCGCCGATTAGACCCAATCAATGTCCCTTTCGGGCTCACTCACTCCCCCAACTCACCATCCCAGAATGTTAAAGCGATTGTATACAAAAATCTCCTGTTGGACACATCATATCAAGTGGCTCTTTCAGGCAGACTACAGTCAAATGGAAGCTCAGTGACGTAGATTATAAATTGTCTGGTGCCCATTTCTCTCTCTCTCTCTTTTAAAAAAAATCCACTTTTGATGTGGTCTGGTTCTGACTGAGGGTGGTACTTTAGATGTGGTCTGCTGTCTGTTTCTGGAAGCATTTTTAATTAGCCCTTAACCTCCCAGAAAGTGCTCTTAGTGGCCCTACAGCAACAATACTGGAGCAGCTTAGTTTATGGAGATTTTTCCTCTCTCTGTGTCCCCCTTTGCTGGACTGACGGGGAGCTTCTTGCCAGACACAGTACTTCAGTCCAAACACAGCGGTTTCTCAAGGGAGTTGGGGATTGAGAGGGTTGGCAGATGAGTCTTCACTGTGTATCCAACCAAGCAAGGGGTGACCTTACATCGGATTGGCAAAATTTATCCCCGTGTATTCGGGATCCCGTTATAATCGCATGCAACATGAGGGGGTGGGGAATGTTTCAGCTAACCAGAGGTTGTCACTTGCAGCGGTAGCTGTGTCGCTACCAATTATATCCCGAGTAACTTAGGCTCACTGAGCTTCTGTTGCACACGCCCATTGCCCTGGGTTTGGCTGCAGAAGGATAGCTGTGGTTTCAAATCAGACTTTTCTTTGCGTCAGTTCAAGCCGCATCGTAAGTTGTCGCCGGAGCATTGCCATCCATACAAAATATCTCCACCATGTACATCGTTACATATAACTGCCGGTGTTTCCAGTCATATGTCTTTATATAATATATATATATTAAAATTATCGATATCTGTGCAGTTTGATGAATTAATAGGTTGAAAGAAATAAGGATTAGAAAAAATAAACTTCCGAGCAGGAAGTAAAGACGCTAATGAACAGCTCCAGATTCACCACAGACAATGCACTACCATCTAATAAGAGAGGGGCGGCATCTGCCTAGTGCCTTTTCCCAACTGGGAGGGCGCAGACAAAGTGAACGTTGGGTGCTCGTTGTTGTAATTAAGAGGTATCAATTATTAATTGCTTGAAAGATAAGGGAAAGGAAGTGGAATCACAAAGCATTTTCCCCTCTGTCTCTGGAAGCTGAGCATTTTTATTCATTACAAAGTCAGGGTGTAAAATGTAGTTTCAGATTCGCTATTCCCAATTCCTCGTAGGCTATACATCCTGTTGGGAACTCTCCCACTGTCTGAACATATCAATGATTTACTGTGTTCAATGGGAGCTGGTGGAAAAGAAAGGGGAAGTTACAATTTGTAGCCGCAATAACTACAAGGATGGGGGTGGTATAAATTCAGGACCCCCTCCCCTCGCCTCCTTCACCTCTTCCTCGCCGATTAAAAAGTCATTACTTGTTCAAGTACACTGCGTTCTCTGGCTCCAAAGAACCCAATATTCAAAGACCGTCATTATGTGTTGCCTTCCATTTTCTCCGTCGTTTTGTTAGGCGCAACTACCGCTAAGTATTTCTTTCAATAAAAAGAGAAGCCAGATTATTCCTGTAATACCAATGAAATGTTATCTTTCAGAGAAACTGCCTACTGTTTCTTTTCCTTCCCAACACATTTTGTCACGAAAATATATGGAAGTATTTCACACCCAAACCCCCAGCTCTTTACGTTTACGTTTATAATTCACAAAAAATTTTTCCACTACAAACATCTTTTTGTAGTATTTAGAATTAGGCGTCGATTAATGACATATATCTAATTGAATTTTCTGTTTGAAGATAAAATTTCGACTGGAATGGAACTATTTTAATTGGTGTTCACGATAATTTGACTTTCTCTCAACGACAAAGATGCACCCTGGCCATCTAGTTAACTGACGCACCGTTACTGCCCGTACTGTACCACTGAAGAATATTAGCCCAACTGATAGAATCACCTCAAAATGTAGTTTATGTTCTTAATTTAAAGACATTGCTTTGCACTCTCGAATACTTTAGCCATCTACGCTGCCATTCCTAATCACGTCCCAGCATATTTTAGAAGGATAAGTTTCACTGAAAAATAACTATAGCTGAAATGATTAGGGATCGGAACAGTCCGCTTCTAAAATAAACCCGCTTCTAAAATAAAACTTATTTACTTTCATAAACAGACAAATGGTGAATGAAGCGAGAGGATTTCGATGTAGTTTTCAATATGACCATTACGTCTACCTCTGAATGTTCATGTCCCTGACTCCAATAAAAATCATAACCAATGTGCTGACCTCAGCAAGAGAACTAATTCAACGTTTGTAAATAAGCACAAAAGCTACACTTTTCTGAACCCACACAGTACAAAACATTCGGCGCCAACGATCTGAAATATCGAAAGATGGAACAGTCATTACATAGGGAGAGGCCATTTGGTCTGTCGAGTCAATGTTGGCTCTGGCTAAAATGATTTTGGATAACCCCTCTTCCCTGTCCTTTCTCATTAACTCCATAATTCGCACCCCCACCGCCCCTCACACACACACACACCATCACAGACGCAGATTCAATTCCTCTTAGAAAGTCTGAACATGGGCATTTGTGTTTTCTCTCCTGTCGCCTTTCGTTCTTTTGACAATGACCTTA